CATGCCACCACGCCCCATTCATAACCTGGTTCCGATAGTTCCACGAATCGGCACCCAAGGCGCCTGGGAAACCACCGGGAATCGGACGAGGTGCCAAGATCAGAACTCAAAATCCAGTGCTCTATGACTGGGGTGCCTGCGCGAGACCTGGCGGCGAGGTTTTAGGGCGGAGATAGCGCAGTCACGGCTCCTCGGTGACAAGATGGGGGCCCTGAAAAGGGCCTTTGGTTCGGAATCGAGAAACCCTTTGGTCGGGTAACGACGGGACGCGAGGAGCCCCCCCCCCCCCCGCCAAAGCCGTAGAGGGTGCGGCCCTGGCGCTTGAGCGCGTACACCACGTCCATGGCCGTGACCGTCTTGCGCTTGGCGTGCTCGGTGTAGGTGACGGCGTCCCGGATCACGTTCTCCAGGAACACCTTGAGCACCCCGCGGGTCTCCTCGTAGATGAGGCCGGAGATGCGCTTGACGCCGCCGCGCCGGGCCAGGCGGCGGATGGCCGGCTTGGTGATGCCCTGGATGTTGTCGCGCAGCACCTTGCGGTGGCGCTTGGCGCCGCCCTTGCCCAGGCCCTTCCCGCCCTTGCCGCGACCAGACATACTGACAGACCCGGAAATCGTACAGCAGCTGGAGAACAGTGCTGCGAGACGGGCTTATATACTGGCCCTGGCGGACCGAATTGAAAACCTGCAGCGAAGCGGCGGGACGCCCCGCCCCCTGAGAAGGAGGGGTCTGACAGGAACAACCAGGGGGCGGGGGTCTGGCGTTTCCTGGCCTGGGGGTGGCGTGGCCGCCCGCTCTGTCCCAGGAGTCCCTTGAACTGCTTTAATTGGCACAAGGAAAGGTCCTCCTTCCGTTTTGCTGTGGGGCACGTGCACTCGCCGGACAGTGAGAGTGGGGTGGGTGCTTGGCCCCGACTCCACTCTGGGGGTTTGGGGCCCACGTGCAGAGCGTGTTTTCCAGGCGGCCTGCCCGGTGGGGTCCAGCGCCCTAACCGTCGCGCCACCGCCTGAACCTGGAAAGAGAAAAGGAAGGGCCGGCCAGAGCAGAACCGGCGCGCCGCTCCGCCCGGCCACGGCCCCCGACGGCCCCCGCCGGCCGGGGGCGCTGCTTGCCTCACGCCGCGTGCCGTCCGCGCCTCCCCGTTGGGCTTTCAGCACGCTGGTTCCACGTGTGCGCATTGTTCAGCCTCGGAATCCCCACACGGTTCAACGGTTCTACCCGTTCCTAGTAGTTCGGTAATCTGGCAGATTTTTTAAATTCTCGTGTCCACAACGGTAAAAGACCCCCTTTGACCCTGTGCTTGGAGCTGTTACTAAAATTCTTGCGAAAATCAGTCAATTTTGCTGCATAAAATCTGTGAACACAATTTAAAAATTTAGAAAATTTGCCTTAGGAAAATAAGTGATTATGTCTGCTTGATGTTCCATGCCAAGATTTTTCTATGGTATGCTTTAAAAATCCTAAGTATTTAACAGTGTGCTTTCTAGATTGTTTTCCTACTGTGTAGAAGTAGTTTTCTTTTTTTCCCCCTGAGGATAACGACGCAGGAGTGATCAGACTCAACACCCGCACTGACACTTGTCCTATGCTCACAAAGAATTAGAGAGGGGACACAGGAGAGTGAAGCCGTTTATTAGGGAAGGAGAAAAGCTTTCAGGGCAATGAAAGGGGTCCCCGATGGGTTGCCAAAGAGGAGCTGGGCATGAGGGCTTTAATCTAGCAGTTGGAGCAATAGGCTGGCCTCTGATAAGGAGTGGATTTCAGGAAATAGTTATGTGGTCGTCTCTGTTATTTACTACCCTATTCATGATGGGGTCAATGGCCCATAGCCATCTGTGTCTTGTTAACATATAGTTACTAGGGAATAGCAGATGGCATGATGCTTATGTTGCTGGACCTCCACATGGTCGACCGGTCAGTGGCCTGAAACATGCTGGTCGTCGTGTGGGGTGTGTGCCCAAAATCCGCAGAGGAGAATGGAGGAGGTATTGCAGTGTGACCATCCCCTGGGGTGAGTTTGTTAAGGAATGGGAGAATGTCAAGCTGCGTTGTAAAGTCCTTGGTTCTTTGGGTCCAGATCACTAAAATTAGAGGTCTGTCTAGGCGCAAAATGAAACCACAACCACGAATGAAGTAGGCAGAAAAGATTTAATAGGAAATAAAGCAAAGTATGCCCAAAAGGCTCTTGGGCGGGCAGATTGCCAGGTGGCAGTTGCTTTTGATACTGGTTAATTGTTACTTTTATCACTAGAAGTGATCATGAATAGTTATTGGTGGGAGGTCTCTCATATTACCTGTCCTTCGTTTGAATTCGAATCCCAGCGTTTTCTCCTGCTTGTGCACTTCTCTCACAGGTAAGGAATGAGAAATTTGATTACCTCATTGTGCAGGCCCACTGTGAGCCAGGTTGTTTAATTGGACTGCCTAATTAATTCATAGTCCTAGTGGGAATTAGAGCATTGACCTAATGGGAATTAGGGTGTTGACCTAGTGGGAATTAGGGCGTTGACCAAAAACGCTTACTTGGGGATTACAGTGTTGACCAAAATACTTTCTTGGGTCTTTTTGGTAAGAGAAAAGTCTATGAATCATCCCTGTATGCTTCCGTCAGGCCCCAGGGAAGGAAGATGGCAAATCGCCTTGCCCTCCTGGCGCCCGGGACTGGTGAGCCTTTCTCTTTTCTCTTAGGGCTGCCCGCTCATGACTAACGGCCTACCACAAGTTCTCACTCTTTCAGGCAATCACATGCACTCTGTACCAAAATCTGTTTTGAAAAAAAAGAAGAAAGAAAAACAATGACTTTTTTGGGAGCTCTTACCCTATCTACCTGTTGGGGGGAGTCTATCTCCTATCTCAGAAGGACTCTAACCTCCCCCTGTCCTGATCCCCTCAAGCAGGTCATAAGCCCCTCACTGAGAGGTGTCAGTTCACACAGAGAAAGCAAGCAGGTGAGAGGGAGTGAACTCCGTCCCCCACTACTCTGAGCCCTCACAAGCAGGTGAGAGGGAGTGAACTCAGTCCCCCACTACTCTGAGCCCTCACATGTGTCCTATCACCTTTCACTGCCCGCTGCTCTTCATCAAACTGCCTCAAACGCTGGAATGAGTTCCAAGCTATAGATCACCAGGCCCTGAAAATTAACAGAAAACATCCTCCAAATTAACAGCCTCTGAACAAACCAGTTTCCAAGTAGCCACCATTATGTAGGCGCTCATGACCCTGAGTCCACCCTGGGTGGCAGCTGTTATAGTCTGCTCGAGAAGAAGAGGACATCCAGACATAGCTAAATGTATTGGAGTTTATTGATTAAACAGGTGGCATACGGGGGGATTCATGTCTCTTAAAACCTTGCAGCCACCAGTTAAAAGAGAAAAGGAGTTTATGTAGGCTATAATCACGATTTATCTCAAGATGACATGTTGATAGGAAGGAACAAAGTTAAGGGGCTTTAGGAGAGATGGGGGTTTTTCTTTCTTCAAAGCAATAAAGTCAGTTACAGAAGAAAAGTAAGCAGGTTAATCATTCCTAAGGGCATGTTCTGAACACAATGGACTCTTAATGGCTCCCCTGGTGAGAGGCAAGGTCTGTTGGTCACTGATTGTCTTAAGGCACTTGAGAATGGGGCTTCTGATGATCCTATCTACTGTAGTGGGAGGGGGAGAAGGAGGCACAATTTCTAAGATGGAAGCACCCTTCCAAAATGGAGTTTCTCTTGCTTCACAGCATGGCCTATAGGACACATGACCCCTTAACGTGGGGAACACATGCACAGGTTCCTCCCAGTGGGGTATAAACCTGGAACCCAAACCATGTGGCAGCAACTTATTTTCTAGGACCCACTCCCTCCTTGGGAATGTGCTTTTCCTTCCTTCTCCTTCAATGAACTCTTAGCTATCCCCTCCAATTCTTCATGAGCATGAGACAAAAACTCATGTCCTACTGCAAGTGTTAGGCCTGATCACCCCTGCACCCCCGCGTTCCTGTCATCAGCACGCAGTCGGCCCCTGGGCCTGATCACCCCTACACCCCCATGTTCCTATCATCAGCTCACAGGAGGCTGGACATGATCACCCCTGCACCCCAGCGCTCCTGACATCAGCATGCAGGGTGCTAGGCCTTATCACCCCTGCACCCCCACGCTATCATCAGCACACAGGGAGCTGAGCATGATCACCCCCTGCAACCCAGTGTTCCTGTCATCACTACGCAGTAGACTCAGCATGATCACTCCTGCACCCCCTATTCCTGTGTCCCCAGCAAACAGCATGCCCTAGACCAGTTGGCAGCATAAACACAGACAGGAAGATGGGGGCAGACTGATAGCAGGTCTCAGCATGACTTAAGGAACAAACAGGTGGCCACACTTGGCAGTTTTCTTTCTGCCCCCACACTAATGTGTCACTTTCGAGCAAAAACCTAGAACATCCTCAGGTGATTCCAACTACTGGCCAGCACAGCCTCACATGAGGAAGCCTCACGCTTGCCTTCAGCAACACTGGACATCAGCAAGGAGGGGGTGTTTTGCTGCAGTGTCATTTCAGAGAACTGGAGGAGTAACGTGGCTCCCACCAGTCTTCGCTCTTGGCACAGGGTTACACTGCAACCACTTAAGCCCTGTAACAAAATTTGTAATTTCAGATGGAAAAGTGGGAATCAAGGTGAGGAAATACCTTAGGAAACACCATGCCTAGAGGGTGCTGCCTCATGATAATCACGAAACCTTCCTCCAGCATCACCTGCACTGTGGCCTCACATGCCCTGCCCACTACTGTCCATCCTAGGACCTAAGGCACAGGGTTGAGCCTGGTACATTCCAGGGAGAGACTCCAACAGCACCACCTTCCCGACTAGGTCTGCCCTCTCATTACATCAAGGTAGCCAGGTTTTAACAAGTTCTAACGCTAGGTGACAGCAGTGTTAGCTTTTCCTTTGAAAGATTAGGTGGCTCTGAAAAGAGCCTTTGGTTTCTACAAGCATGAGAAGGTGCTCACTTGGAGCTGGTGTACTTGGTGACGGCCTTGGTGCCCTCGGACACGGCGTGCTTGGCCAGCTCCCCGGGCAGCAGCAGGCGCACGGCCGTCTGGATCTCCCGCGACGTGATGGTCGAGCGCTTGTTGTAGTGCGCCAGGCGCGACGCCTCGCCCGCGATGCGCTCGAAGATGTCGTTGACGAACGAGTTCATGATGCCCATGGCCTTGGACGAGATGCCCGTGTCGGGGTGCACCTGCTTCAGCACCTTGTACACGTACACCGAGTAGCTCTCTTTGCGGCTGCGCTTGCGCTTCTTGCCGTCCTTCTTCTGCGCCTTAGTGATGGCCTTCTTGGAGCCCTTCTTTGGGGCTGGGGCAGATTTAACAGGTTCCGGCATGGCGTAGAGAATCAAACAGTAGACAAATAAGCGACACATGCAGGCCGGCCTAGCTCTACTTATATAGACACTATTATGCAAATTAGTAGTGGTAATACTCACTGGTGATTGGTTGTCATCCGTTGTTGACGTCAGACGTCAGTTTTGCCCAATCAGAATGTGCATCCTGCGTACTCGCAGTCCATTGGTCTAAATTAAAATTAAATTTAGCCAATCGAACAGCTGGCTTTTCGCGCCCGGCAGCGGCTATAAAAGGCGCTCTTTTCCCCTCCTCTAAGCAGTGTCCTTAGCACTAGCGGTCTCAGTGTCTAGTCATGTCCGGCCGTGGCAACGGCAAGGCGCGGGCCAAGGCCAAGTCCCGCTCTCCCAGGGCCGGGCTGCAGTTCCCGGTGGGCCGCGTGCACCGCCTGCTGCGCAAGGGCAACTACGCCGAGCGGGTCGGGGCCGGCGCGCCGGTCTACCTGGCGGCCGTGCTGGAGTACCTGACGGCCGAGATCCTGGAGCTGGCGGGCAACGCGGCGCGCGACAACAAGAAGACGCGCATCATCCCGCGCCACCTGCAGCTGGCCATCCGCAACGACGAGGAGCTCAACAAGCTGCTGGGCAAGGTGACGATCGCGCAGGGCGGCGTCCTGCCCAACATCCAGGCCGTGCTGCTGCCCAAGAAGACCGAGAGCCACCACAAGGCCAAGTAGAAATGGATGTTTGGAGGCTCAAAAACAAAGGCTCTTTTCAGAGCCACTTAAACAGTCAAAAAAGGCGGCACGTTTTTTAAGCATTTACTTCCGGGACGTTGTTCTTGAAGTGATCAGGGCCAATGATGTAGAAGCTTAGGACCTTACTTAACCTGTCTCCTATTCGATCTAAGCTCCCTCAGGTCTTTGTACAACGCTTGCACCTTACACCAAATTACAAGAAATTCAAACCCTTGTTTAAATTTAAATCAGTTTGGGGGGGGTTACCTAGATCTTATTTTGCTGCAGAGGAACCAACAGATGCATAATGGTTGTGTCGCTTGACTCCCAGAGTCTAACACAACTGGAGTCCTAGACCCAGTTGCTTCAAGCATGCCTTGTGTGTGTGCCTAAAATCCCGAGTGAAGAAAAGGATTGCAGTATGACCATTCTCCCTGTGGGGTGACTTGCCTTCTGTTGCTCTCTGGCGAGCGCACAGGAACTATAGCAAAAACAAACTCACGAAAAAAACCGCAAAGCTAAAGGATTTTGGGGGGAGTTTACAGAACAAATCCATTGGGGTGTATGTAATGTGAGATCAATAGCAATCATCTTGCATCTATATAAATTTACCTTTAGGAAGTTTCTTGAAATGTGTTATGTATCACTAGTGTGTTTTGTACTCAGTTTCAGTAAACTGGTATTTAGCCCTATTTTCCCAAGCATCGAAAAGGCACTCACTGGGAAAGCCTATGATTAGCAAATAACATTCTTTCATCCTACATTTTTAAATTTGTTGCACTTATATGTATTTGGAACAACAACAAAAAATGCTTTGGAAATCTTTAATCTTCCACTTAAAGATCACATGCATGTTCTTTAGCAATACACATATACTTGTAATCACTTGTGTCTGTCAGTATGCTGCTTAAATAAAATACAAAATAACTGGGTTTATTGTATAGAATGTATTTTCTTGTTCTCTTTTGTGTGATATTTGCAGTTAATCTTTTTTATATTTGGGTGTTCTTGTTACAAATCTATTTCTTAAATGCTGTTAGGATTAGCAAATGACTTAAGTACTTGCTTAGTAAATTCCCAAGTAGGCAGATGGCAAACATACTCCAAACTTGTCTGTAATGATAATAATTGATGGAAGTAGATGATACTAAATTGATCCCAGGAGCTGTAATGGGTAGACACAGCTGGAAAAAATAATTATTTTCTGAAAAGTTAAAAAGACCTTTTTGAGAACAGTGAGGTCAAAGATCCTCATGTCCATATTTATAAGGTATAGCAAGGCTCTCTGGTCTTGAAAAGGATTGAGTACTTATGCTATTTGTCACTTACATAATCAGGTAATTCAAACATAAAAATTACTACGTTCCTCTTTTATTAAATTCTAGTATACTTCTTGTAAAAATAATTATTTCATGGGACCAGCAGATGGCGAAATGGCTACGTCGATGGACTCCACATAGCTGACCACAGTTTGAGTCCCAGACCTGGTGGCTTAAGCTCACGCGGGGAACGTGTGCATGTGTGCCCAATCCCGAGAGGAGCATGGAGAAGGGACTGCCTTGTGGCCATCCTCCCTGGGGGGTGATTTCTCACTTTCCGTCTCTCTTTCTGGTGAGTGCTTGCACCCTATAGCAAAAACCTCTCCAAAAAATAATTTAAAAAATAATAATAATAATTTCACAATTAAGTGTCATACATTAAAGATAAGGCACAGACTACTTATCCTAAAGAAACATTCAAATTGGAAGAAACACACAAATAACTGAAACACGGGACCAGCAGTTAGCGTAATGGCTATGTCGCTGGACTCCCACGTAGTCGACCATGGTTCAAGTCCCAGACCCTGTGACTTAAAATCACGCTGGGAGTATGTATGTGCATGCCCAGCATCCCAAGAGGAGAATGGAGGAGAAGGGATTGAGGCGTGGCCATCGCCCCTGGGGGGTGATTTTTCGCTTTCTGTCTCTCTGTCTCTCTCCTTCTGGCGAGCACACACGCCCTATAGCAAATACCTCACAATAAATAAAGAAATAAATAACTGAAGCACAATGTAGCAAGAATAATAGAAGCATATAGGAACACAATCAGTGGGACCTCTGATCTGAGGATTAAGTAAAACTGGGAATTGCAGGAAAGTTTATGGATTCAGCAGAGTGAGCGTCACCAAAGACACATACTTTGTGGCATGTGTGGCAAAAGACAAGAAGCTCAATGTTAGCAATAAGACAAAGGTTACCAGTCAGGCAGGAGCAAGAGGGGCTTTTAGCTTACTCCATAGTATTAAATGCTATTTACATACTAATGACCCCCATATCTTCATGTCCACCTCAGACGAATTGGAATTCCATGCATGCATGTTCACCTACCTTTTGAAACATCTGGGAAACTGAACACACATTCCCTGGACTAATAATCATTAATTCTATTTCCCCAGTAATCCTTGCCTTAATAAATGGTATCTCCATGCACCCATGAGAATGAGCCAAGGGACCTAGCATCATCAAGTATTCATTTTTGTATGCCATCACGGTAGCAAAACTCAGTTCCTCTATGGGAGGGCAAAAGCATGTTCAAAGCAGAAAGAACTACAAGGCTACCAGGCAACTGTAGCTCAGCACATGGGGTGTCTAAGGAGATGTAGACTATCTATAGCCTCATAACTGGAACGACAAATTGCCCTCAATAAATAGTTGCTCATGTAATCAGAACTGAACGGTAACTGGGAAAAACATGTCTCGACTGGTTGTTCTTAGCCAGCCAAGAAGAGTTTGCTCAGCACCGGCTGGGCGATGCCTTGCTGACTTACTATGTTTGTTTCGGCCTGGAAGGAAGGAGGACACTGCTACAAATACCAGTCCATCCAGCAGCTGGCCCGAGGTTGGGTTAGCAGAGTTCTTCAACAAGTGGTATTGGGAGTAGGGATGGGGGCACTGCCTCCCTGTAAAGTGCTGTGTTTTTACTTTCCAGAAGAAAGTTAATTCCTTTATTTTTGCATAAGGTATTAATTCCAATAGAAACTATTAGAACATTATTATAATTCTGTAAAATATAAAATTCATTCTAAATTCCAAATGTGGGATTATTTTTATTGCCCATGAACCCACCCACAGAAGGTAATGAGCATGAACAGATAGTAACAGCTGCAGTAGTGATCTTACCTACTAAGCTTTACAGAATGCAACCAATTCTGGGAACTGAAGCACATAGTGAAGTGAAAAAAGAATTCAAACTGCTTCTAAAAATTCAATGTAGTGGTGAAGATGCTGGACTCCCAGGTGGGCAGCCATTATTCAAGTCCCAGACCTGGGACCTCATGCTGGGTGCATGTGTATGCATGCCCAAAAGCCTGACAAGGGAATAGAAAAGAGGGGATTGCAGCATAGCCATCCATGGGGGGGGGGGGGGGGGGGGGGCA